CCCCCCCGCCCCCGGGGCCCAGCTGGCCTCTCAGCCCCTGGCCTGGCCGCCTTGTCCGAGGGCCCTGGAAGAACCCGGGAACCTCTTGGCGATGTTGGGTGGTTTGTTTTCTTGTTTGTTGGTTTGGTTTATTTTTTCAGTGTATTTTTCATGGTTGGATCAGAAAAACTTGAGTTTTTTATTTAATTTATTCCTTGCTGTCACCGGTGACTTTGGGAAGAAAACAGAATGGATGGGGCAGGGGTTCCTGGGCCCCTGGGGGAGGGGGATCGGGAAACCCCGAATCTGGTCAATCCATTTGTTGAGTTCTGGCTGACGTGGACCCCCAGGTGCCGCGGGACAGGCTGGCCTGAGGCAGAAGGGGTGGCGGTGAGTGCCCCCTCCCCACTGATTCGGGCCCAGGGGCTCCCAGCCCGCCCTCCTCCCTTCGGCGCTGGCTCTCAGAGTGCAAAACCAGAGGCCCTGTGGAGCCTCGGCCCCCTCAGAACCACAGCCTCCCAGCCTCCTAGACACACAGGCCCCACCCGTCCCCCAGCCTCGCTCGATGGCCCCCGAAGCCGAGAAGACATTACATTTGTGTAAATAGAGCCAGCAAGTATATACTGTGATTTATTTTTACTGTATTCCTGAGGATGGACTGGAATGTTTCTTTTTTCCTCACCCCTTTATGGGGAGAGGGGCTTTTATTTTGGCGGGGGGGTGGGGTGGACTTTTTAGAGTAGAAGCTGCACTTCGCAATAAGCTCCTTTGTCTGTCAGACCCCCTTCCCTCGACTCTATGACTAATAATAATGTTTGTAAGAAAAGGGAAAACAGGACAGAACAAAACGGGGAGGGGGGACATCACCACCAAAAAAAACACCCCTCCCAAAGACACTTCAATGAAGTAAACAGCGCATTTATACAGATTTCATATTTCTACCCACCTTTCCTGACCTGTGTTTTATATATATTATATATAAATATATATCGTGCGTGGCCGCCGGGAGACGGCTCAGGCACGCCGGTGGGGGGCTTTTGTAGGGGGTGGGCGGGCAGCGTGGCCACGCCTGGAGCTGGCGACGAGTCCTCCCCCTCTCCGTCACAATCAACTTTGGATTCTGTATTTTTTTATAATAAAATGAGTGTAAACGTCAAGGCTGCGTGTGTTTGGGGCTACCGGTCGTGCTGGAAGGATGCTTTGTGCTAATCGTCTGGAGTCGGGTCTGGACTCTGCTGGGAGGGGTGTCTTTGGTTCTGTTCATCTTTGGAAGCTGGACACCGGAATGAGAATTTTAGTGGGGGTTGTACCCTTCATCGCCACCCTGGGGGATGGGACCAAGCCCCTGCGCCCTAGGGCAAAAGGGAGGATGGAGGGAAGAGGGAGACTGGCTGTGAGCATGCAGCAGGGCTTACTAAGTAAGCATTATTCACCCAGCGCACCTGAGCACGTCGGAATCCCTGGACCCCAGGGCCAAAGCCTCCTGTACCCTTAGCCATGCTCGGTTGGGGGGAATCTGAGGGGGTGGTCTTCAGGTCCTAGGATGACTCTTATGGTCCAAATTCTGTGACTTCTTGGTCTCCAAGCTCTGCTGTAGTGTGACTCAGTTTCCCCAGATGCTCCAGGCCAGTGTAGGGGTCTGTCGTCTCTAATCCTCTCCTGGCTTTACCAAAAAGCCATGTGTCACAGGGTTCTGAGGTTCCAGGGGCCTTCACCCCAGCCTAGCCCCAGAGGGGGCTGAGGGACTGGGGCCTGGGGGCTGGTCCTCGCCTTGGTGCCACCTGCCAGGATCGCAGTGTCCCCGCCACGATGAGCAGAGAGGGAAGGCTCTCTGCTAATCAATCCGGCCGTGCTGGGTCCGGAGACGGGGGCTGCCTCTTAATGAGGCCAGCAAGCGGCACAAAGACCCCTGTGTGCGCCCCGCCTGCCCTGCCCAGCGGCTGGGGACGGAGGCGGGGCGCCGTTCTGAGCACCACGGACAGGGAGATGAGGGATGCCCCCTCCACGGCAAGGGCCCCAAGGCTCAGAGAGGCAGGAGGCCTCCTGGTGCCTGCTCTCCTTGAGACCCCTCACCCCAACACTCCAACCTGCCCACGGGGACGGAGGGAACTGGAGGGGTCATGGGGCAGAATCTTAGCAGCTAACTTTGATTTTTGTTATTTAAAAAAAATACTTATTGAGATATAATTCACCTACTACACAATCTATCCATTTAAAATACAATTCCACATTTTTTATATATTCACAGGGTTGTACAACCATCACCACTATCTAATTCCAGAACATTCTCATCACCCCAGAAAGAAGCCTGGGCCCCATTAGCTGTCACCCCAGCCCCCACTCCCAGCCCTTGACCAGGAACCCCCTCCCTGTGTCTGGGGACTGGCCTGTTCCGGATGTTTCACATCCATGGACTCACACACTGTGTGTCCTTCTGTGTCTGCGTCTCTCACTGAGCATCATGCTCTCAGAGTCCGTCCACGGAGTAGTGGGTGTCAGTGCTGCTCTCCTGTTCACGGCTGAATAATATTCCAATATGTGGATTGATAACATTTTGTTTATCCATCACCAGTTTATGGACATTTGGGTTGTTTCCTTTTAAGTATTTTGAGGATTGTATTATTTTTGAGACAATGTTTTAACAGAAAGGTGACCTTGAGGGGAGGGTATAGCTCATTTGGTAGACCACATGCTTAGCATGGATGAGGTCCTGGGTTCGATCCCCATTACCTCCTCCAAAAAATAAATAAATAAGTAAACCTAATTACCCCCTACAAATAAACAAAATAAAAAAAAAAGAAAGGTGACCTTGGATGGGTAAGTACCAAAAAACTCTGTTCCCACCTTGGAGCCTTTGCACGTGCTGTGCCCCTTGCCTGCTCTGCTCTTTCTGTAGATCACTGCTTGGCTCTCTCTCTCTGCCCCTTCAGATTGGTCAGTTGTCCCCTCTCTGCCTCCCTGGCAAAGTGCCCTCCCCACGCCTCTTGCTGTCAGATTCTTTACTTGTCCATCTTCTCCACAGGCTGGGAGTCCCCAGAGGGCAGGGGGACTGGCCCACAGTCAGGAGTCTCTCCGCAGACTTGTCATCTGCCACACGCACAGACACACGTGCACACGTGCAGAGGAGCCACCCAGCCACACCCAGCTCTGCACACCCCTGTACTGACGGATGCCTGTGTATGGGGCCTGGGTCTCTCAGGAACTACCCTGTCCAGCGCCAGCCACCGGTCGCAGCCGTGGGGGCCACTGCCAGTGTGCAGAGTGGCCACTCACTCCCGGGGCTGCAGTGTGTGTGGCGGGGTCCCGCAGGGCGACCATCAGTATGTGGGTCCCACGCATACCTGGAGGCTCTGGAGTGAAGTGATTTCCCTTCCGCAGCCCTGCTACTAGCCGGGGGTTGGGGTTCGGGGGAGCCTGAGGGTCCCCCACCCCCAAATCCTGACAGTTGCTCTCAGGCGGAGCCAGGCCTCCCCAGTCGGGAACTCTTCAGATTCATGGCCGTCTCGGTCTGGTGGATTCAATGCCCATGGTCACTGGAGGGCACCCCACAGCCCTTCCCCTCTGGGCCCTGGGTCCCCCGTCCGTGTCTCTGAGGAAAAGCCCCCAGCCCTGCACTTGGGTCCTGCCCCGTGACCACGACGGAGGGGCTGATGCCTCGCCCTCTGGACTGATGCGTCAAGTCCCTTGGCTACGGCCACAGAGCAGGTCAGGTCAGAGCCCCCACAGCTCCCCCAGGTCGCTCGGAGGAAAGGCCGCAGTCCCAGGACTGCAGGGCTCACGTCGCTTCTCCAGCGTCTCCACCTGGTCCTCCCTCCTGACACCTGCTCCCTGGGGGACAGTCCGACACTCTGGGGTGCTCCTGTCCACAACTCCCACGTCTCCCGTGTCAGTATCAGCTCCCCCAGCACGCACTGAGTGAGCACCTACTGTGTGCAGTCACTGCTGGGCCCTCCCCTGGTCTGTGGTGTTGGAGAGAGGACAGTGGGGCCTGCCCCCGTGGCTCCAGGGCCGCATATTTAAGGGGCTTATGGGTCATGGGAGGAGGCTGTGGTGTTGGGGACCCTGGTCCAGGTTGCAGGTGGCTGGGTGGCCACTGATGGACAAATAAAAAGTTAGTTCACAGCCAGGGAGCCCTTGAGGAGCCATAAATCACCGCAAGATGACACACAAGCCGGAAATTAAGTGGCTGCAGCCGGGCTGGTGTGGCCGGTGGGGCTGAGATGGCCAGGGTGAGGCCAGGAGCCCTCCCACCCTCAGTTTTCCCTCTGGAGCTGCTAGCAGTGGTCATGATTGGAACAATACTTGTGGTGATCAGGGCTGGTGCTGGTGTGGACAGGGAGTGGGGCTCAAACCCTGGGCACAGAGCAGGTGGCAGCAGAGACCAGACTGATGGGCGATTCAGGCATTTCCTTACCCCGTCTTCATGGAGGTGGGAAGGGAGAGGACAGGGGCAAAGGAGGTGGGCAGAGGGAGCCAGGGGAGGCTTTGGGGCAGGACTGGAGGCCAGGGAGGAGGAGGGGACTCTGGGGGGGCACTGCTGAGCCTGAGAACCCCGGATTCCCCGTGGGGAGGTGTCCAGGAGGCCGCTGACCCTTCAGTGCCTCTCCTCTCCGCACTGTTGCCTGATGGAGCAGAAACCCCACCCCATCCATCCTCTCCACACTTACAGGCTTACTTATGGGAGCAAGGAATCTGGGGGTTGCCCACACCATGGTTGAGGCAGGGATGTCCTGGGCGAGACCCCTCCCTCTCAGGC